CCTGGGTGGGAGGTACACAGCGCACTCGAAACAGGAAAAGCGAGAAAACCCAACAACCGAAACGTTCATTGTCAAGGGTAGTCACGACCCTCCGCGCCCCTCGCTCCAGCAACCTCCAGTACTCCCCCGCCCCCGCGCTGGGGATTCCCAGCATACGATATACCCTGACTCCAGAACATGAGCAATCCTGTTAGACATATCGCCGTGACATACAGCACGCATTACCCACTACACACACTGCTAGCAAGAAGTAGCTTGGCAGTTGGCAGAATCGTTTCGAAAATCGTGCACAAATTCTATGAATTTCAGCAGTACATCATCATCATCTATGGTATCGATTCACAAGGAGCCACATTCCGTCGCAAATATCTCACAAACTGCGTATCAACTCGTCCGCCTCCTCTACGTATGACTTTATCTGCACTCATTTGAAAACTTTAATCACGAAACAAAAAAAAACTTTCAGCACCTAAGCCTTTTTGTGATCTGAGTACTGTGACACAGGACCTGCTATTTGTGCTGGATTCTTCTCAAAAAGACGCCAACTCCGAAAGCACCTTCAAAAGTGTAAGTATGATAGGCATGTATCAATATATTCCCGAGTCGCACATGGCGAGCACTAGTAGCTTCCCAGTTAGTTGACCTGAGACCACGCCGAACTACCGTGTCTACTGAGTCTTGGTGCGAGTGACGCGCGCATGACCCCTCGCAACGCTGTTTTGCCACTATTTTTTCGTAGCATTTAAACTGTACGTCTTTCAGATTCGCGACTTTGCTGTAAAGACTCAGCTGCCATTCAAGTTCTCTGCTGACTATGCGCAAGTACGTTTGTTTCTGTAAGTGTACTCCAGGGCGTGATCTGGAAAAAAGGAAATTCAGGTGGCCGCCATGACCCTGGCAGATAGTGCACAAGGTGGTTTCTCATTTAATGCTGCTGAACATACATTTGACAATGTCCAAATGCTGCTGTCCAATTTGACATTCCTCGATCGACCTGGACAAAATGTTACAAGGTTGGAGAACAAAATTCACGGGTCGAGATTTTTTTTGAAGTCTCAGTGTACACGGATGTTTCAGCGCTATGCAGCTCACAATTAATTCCTATGGAAGCGCTAATCAAGGCTATCGCCCGTCAGCACGACACCTACTGGTATACGTTACCAACAACAAGTTCGTTTGAAATGAAATTTAGCATCTGATTATAGTCAGCTATTCCTAAAACCCCTGGAAACGTGCACGTTTAATGCTACTTCATGAACTAAGGTGACAAAACCTTTTTTCAGCCCAAATGAGTTTCCTTCAGTAATTTGAGT